AAGCAGCTCAACACAGATTTGGCCAAGCCTTGAATGGAGATGAGACTTGAAGTGCCGACTTTGAAAAGATCTAATACGAGAAAACATAAGCCATATTCTCGTAAAATCCCCTGATCAAGTAATGAGGTTCAGAAGGGAGAACCTGAGCCCAAAAACCGTAAATGCTGCGCCTTTTGCTCTTACAATAAAAGAGAATGCCTAAATTAGTGTGTTATAAGTAAGTACAAAAAGTCAGTATGTTGCGAGCACAAAATTTATGTGTGTGTATACTGCTCTAAGCTTTAAGCTAGTCTGTGAAAATCTGATTTAATTTAATAATTGTGCTAATAAAAAGTCATTAAATAGTAAAAAAACATATAAGATATTTAAAAAAATAATGTTACCGTTGATTAATCAGAAGTTACTTTCGTAGAATATTAGCAGATTGTTTATTTTTTTATATAAATAGTGTATTAAAGTTTTTATAATCTGTGTTTGTTGAATAAGTATATATCTTAATCGATTTATCTTTTCAGAAAGGTTATTTATATTTTGTATCTGAGAGCTTTGGGCTTAGGGATTTTATTTAGGACTTTTGGTAGGAGTTGCTGTTTTTTTACAAGTTATGTTCTTGAGGGATGGATATACAACACGTAACATAATTAACGCACTTTGAGAAAGTAGTTTGTTCAGAATCGTTTACTGAATCGATTCCTATCATTTTTAATATAGGTAATTTTTTATCCCAAAAATAATTAAAACTACGTAAAAGTACAGTTACACTAAATCTGTACAGTCAAAACAAACTGAAATGGACCGTAATTTAAGGAAATAAGACTTTTAAGAGTGCAGTTTTATTTGTTTATTAGTAATTCTGTCATTCAACAAAAATAAAGAAAAATTAACTTTATTTCAAGCACGTTAAAGTCTTTGCGTTCGTGGATTTGTACTGTGACCACTACATTCTTCCGGAATTAGTTTATCTAATTTCGAAAATAATCAGTGCATAAAAATGTTTAACTAAAAATTCAGTGTACGTATTATGATTATAACATAATATACTAATTGGGGTGTCTGAGGTGTTGAGGGTGTGCGTTAATTACGTTACATATTGTATATTTACTTAAAAGGATGTCCCAAAACCGGATTAATGTAGCTATTTTAATAAACAATGTAATAATAATAATAAATTTATTTATTTATTATTATTTATCTCCTGTTTCAATTACCCTCCGTCGCCTCTTACAACACCCACGGTATTATATTACGTATAGTTGATTCTGCTGCGCCGCCACTACAGGGTTATACTCACAGAAATCTAAAAGACAAGTTATATTTTTTTACAATTTATATTTAGATTTCTGTGGTTATACTAGTATCGAATTAATAGCCGAAATCGAGATAATTAAAATTTTGTTAAGTATAAAAAGTGAACTAAAAAGAAACTAATTAATTTAAAAGGAAAAAGGCATGCTAAATGTTAATATTTCAAAGAGTAAAACCTTATAACGATATCTTATATTTACGCTAATACTACACGATATATGAAATTAAATTTACGAATTTTATCGTGTTTTATTTATTTATTATTTATGTTGCAGGAGTCTACAAGCCTAATTGTGAATGTGGTCTCTTTTACATATAATAAACTAAAAGATCTATAAAACTCGAGTAAAAGCACATATAGCTAACGTAAATCACCGACGACGCTCCGCGAAGTCTGCAGTCTGTGAACATGCTTAAAATCGTCCCCGCCATTACATCAGATTATTAACAGACCATTTGTACAAATATCCTCACAAAAGCACACCGAGTCCTACCAAGGTGTATTCGCAAGGTTATTGAAATTAAAAACGTCCTAATTTCCATAGAGAAGCTACTAACTATGACATAGCGACGTCAAACACCTCAATCCCCCCGTAACCATGGCCGTTGAAAAGCACCCGAAACGTTGGGATCTAAAAAGTTTAAATTAAACGCAAAAAAATACGTAACTTATTTATTTAAAACTTATACAAAAAAGAAGTTATAGAATGAAACAGTTGAATAACGCAGATATTTACGAAAAAATTATAACGAGATTCAGATTGTATTTAAAATCAAAGAACTGATAATTCCGTTTAATTAATGATTTCCTTTTGGTTTAATCACGATAATGATTAATTTTTACCCATTCGATAGATATTTGCGTAATACAGTGCAGGCAAACCGTTTCTTTAACAATAGGATATAAATCAAACAAAAACACTTACATTTTAAACAGCCAAAACACCAAAAATATCTATAGTATAGTTTTTTTTTTCTATACATCGACAATCTTTTAAAACTTTTTTATTTATACACACCAATCTGATACACCAATTTTAAGACTGTGTGGTTCTAAGTAACAAAGGAAACTGGGGAACTGATTCAAAGATAAATAGATATATAGCAAGCTAAACTGATTGAGAAATATACGACTCGAGGAACATGAATTGATCACAGAGTACTTTATATTATTATGTCGGTGGTTTATAACAAAAACTGGTTTTTGTTCTAGAAACGAGAAAAGACAAAATTTTGGTAATTTTTATGTTATCATAACTGTCAAAATACAGTTTTTTGATGAAAAACCGAGATTGATTTAGTTTTATGATAAAATCGACTTAACCTAACCTTTTTTTATTTTCATGGGAAAATGTCTACGCATACCCGCCTCGCGGGGGCAAGAACGGTTTATGTCGGACTCGCACCAACTAAAACCTCCTGGTGTTCCACCTTCGCCGCATACTGACAGGGCAACGGGAACACTTTCATTCACATCCGCGGCTCCACCAGCGCCAGCTGACTCATGGCGGGATCCCCTTTTGCTTCTCAAGTAAGGTGCACCAGGAACACAATACGCGCCTTTCTACGCGATCTCAACTTCACCTGCGCAACGGACCCACAGATCCCGATACGCGGAAGCCATGAGGCCAGGAAAAAACGAGCACTCGGAAGCACCCGCTTTCCTGAACCCAGCGGCAGACATGGTCGATGGCTCCGCCGCTAACCAAGCAAGGTAGCGTATCGCCATACCAGCACTCCTCATCCCCTCAACTCCTTCACGGTTTTTGGGGGAGAGGACACCCCTCCCGCCCACCGACACACATGAGAAGTGGGCTCGCGAAGCCCACTCGGAGTAGCCACCTCGGGCCGGCCTTACATTTAAGTTGAGCCATGTGGGTTCCTGTTAGTTCACCGCGGGTGACCAAGCCGCGGTTTCTAAGCCTCCCCGCCACGATAAAGCGGGATTCCTAACTGGGACTGCCAAATTACGAAAAACATGAATTTTCAAAAATAATAGTTTATTTTTTAATATAGGAATAAGTAAAATACAATCAGTTTTTTCCCTCCCGTGTATACATTAAGGGCTTACGTTTTTACATATACATATATGTTCCTTTTTTATACCTGTTGTTTTGTTAATTCACTTGTAAAATAGAAATGGATACGGAATACGTTAATGGTATACATACAAAATTGAAATTTTCTTGCGAATGTCCAATGAAGTTATATCGTAAGTAAATTATACCTACTTTAATGAGGATATTAAATTAATCAAAATATTCTGGCAAGCTGTGGCGAGGAGCATAAAAGACACAAAAGAATGCAATCCATTATCCACTGACAGACTTCTATGTTAGATGTCTTTGCATCCACTTGCTAAGTTCTACTGTCAAGTGTTTCGCACTAGTAAAAACTGTGATAGCCAACCGGTCTAGCAACATTCCTCCTACATGACAATTTATGTGGGAGACTTTTATTCAGCAGTGAAGTTCGTTCGTGTACTTATTTAAAAAAAAATCTCAGTGAGCGTGTGAACTAGGCCAATAAAATTAAGGTTCTAACGAGACAATATGCTTTACTGAATTTTCTTCAAAATGAAATAATGTAAAGAAAAAAGTTATAATTTTTGATTTTTTCGGTTAAGATAATTGTCGGGTAAACTTATACCTACTCGTAATTCGTGTCAAAAATTAAATAAAAGAAGGTATTACGTAACGTACATAAAATAAATAATTTAACGACGAAGTTTAACTGTTTATTTGTCAAAAAAAAAACGTATTTTCACGTACCTACATTATGCTTTGCCTTTGAGAATTAAAAACATTTCCTTTTAAATGCAATAAAATCAATTTATGTCTTAGTTATGCCTTACAAGCTTACGACTGCATTTATTTAGGTACTCGTAATTACTACTATTATATACCACAGAACAGAACACTATTACTATAAAATCTTTGCTTACGAGCTTACGACTAAAAATTGAAAATTACTCTGTGCGTGTGAATGTGAAGGTACGTAGTACTATTATTTATTCTATGTTGAAGGTTATACGAAACACAGATTAGATAATATTTACTATCCGAAATTGGGTCTAAGGGACTCCCCGACAATAAATGTTTTTTTTTGTCTTTGGTAATGGATTCGTACTATTATACTTTTGCCAGTGTCAAGTATTACGAAATTATATTACAATTAATAAATAATTTGTTTAAACTTTTGTTTTAACTTTTTTACAATATGTTGTTACATCACATTGCGAAAGTTTTGGGAGATTTTGACTGATGCTTGAGCTATGAGATATCTTAAAGCACTGCCGTAAGACACATCACGATTTACATGTCAGACATAACCTATATTGTCAAAAGAAATGAAAAATAGATAAAGTTCATAATAAATAATTAGAATAACGATTTGCATGCGAGGTAGGTTAAATGAAAACGAATACAACGGTACAGCTGTGCGATGCGCCCTGCAAATGCCTTAAAAATTTTGTTTATTTACGTTTTTACTGAAGTATAGGTAATTAAAAAAATTCAAATTTAATTTAAAAAATCATTATAATGGGTTCACAATTGACGAAAGTAGTTAGATAACTACTCTGAGCTTGAAAATCACATACAAATCACATTAATTCATGTTTATTTGACAGCTATATTTATTTTCATCAAAATATCACACACAAAATATTAACAGTAAAAAAACTTTAACAACAGCTATCTATAGTTTCTAAAAATAAGTATAACATCAAAATCGGTGCCAGGAGCCCGATGAGCGGCATGCAGGCGAGCAGGTGAAGTAGCACAAAGACGCGGGTCCAGTGCTGGATTGCGATATAATATTTTATCACCACCACGGCCCACTACTACCACGTAGTGACCACGGTATGCACCACCAAAAGCGCGTCTGAAATTGTATTGTTAAATGTCATTAGAATGAGATCATAGCCAAGCTCGTATTCCATGTGTTAGAGATTATTGCATCATATACGTTCACCGGCTTTTTTATATAGGAAAAGAGGGACAAACGAGCACACAGTCCACCTAATTGTAAGTGGTTGCTGTGGCCCACAGACATCTAAATCTATCCTCGATTACGAATCAAAATGCAGATGCGAGGACTAAGATGGAATACCTTGTTTCTAGTAAAAAGAGTCTATAGTTCTCTACACTCACTATACAAAACACAGCAGCGATACGCTGTTATTTTACGCTGCGCTGGTTTTCTGTGAGAGCGTGGTCCCACCCCAGTCAAGCCAACTCATTCGTGCTACAACTATACTTATATACTACTAATCTAGCTGCAGCACGGCTCTACCACAAAACAGAGCTTCCAACAAACAAGCTGAAACTCTGAATAAAGAAGGTTATACATATGATGTCACCTTTGATGACTAAGATGGAATGTCTCAAACCATGCAATATTTGAACATACCCTTCAACCCAGAACATTTGGTGCTTGGTGCCAAAAATTGATAGGAGAGTGGTACTAGTTGGACCCCTAACCATAGTCCATAAGGAGCCGTAGGTAAATTTTTATAATTTGTTTGTTCTTTCTATCGCCTGTTTTTAACAAAGGGTCTGGCATCCAATTTTCGATAGTGTACATTCGAAAATGTCGTACTCAAGTCTCACAGACTGATGATGAAGAGCAGCTTTTTCAGTACAAAGTTGTCAACCCACCTCCCCACCATCTCAAATGTGGTCAAATGTGTCAAACACGCCTTTGGTTTGCTGCTATTTAAAAATTACTTGATGCTTTTAAACTCTAGCTTAGAATAAATTTTAGAAAAATGATCTTAAGCTCCACATTAGAATACAATTTAGAAAAATTTATAGCCTAAAAAGTCATTAAAACCAGAGGAATTGCAGGTGCATTGCACTGCCTTTATGGCACGAATCGGCTTTATCCTTCACTGTACTAAGCCTAATTCATCTAGAAAAATAGCTGGAATCAACAGCTTCCACAAAGTGGATGTGCAAGGTAGAAAGCTCCTTTAAGAAATTATAGTGGTGAACAGCTAATCATCCGGATGGTGTGGATGAACTTCAAGATTTTATTTAGTAGCTTAAATAAATCGACAGTATACCTGAATTCTGCTCGTAATTTGTTATGCTTGCACAGATCGCAAGTGAGTAGCGCTGCGTCAATGAGAACGATAGCAGGACCTCGAGTCTCTACATGTAGAAGGATTTCGTCCACAGTTAATTCCTTTTGGTGTACTAAAATTCCAGCGTCATTAGCATTTGCAAAACGTCCTTCTACACGTACACGCTCCTTGGAGAAAATTGTTATAGTTAATTACTCTTCATCATACATATAAAATGGATATTTTGAAAATATAGCCATGTAAGATAGATCAAAAAAAAATAGCAAGTGACTTTTGGACCCTTAATTAATAATCACAGACCAAAATGAAAGATGGAGTGTTACATATATTTCAAGTGATGCAAAATTTAAGCCAAAACCATGATGAACCTATTTTAAGAACATGTAGTCATATACAAATATGCATCTTAAATCAACTGCAACAAGTAACATGCAACAACAACACTTATGATTAGATAGTAGATCACTACAACCTACAAGTGAGTAGCAACTCTGTTCCTGATCTTTTATTTGAGTTTGTGATACTACATCAACTTATCTTCACGCACAATCCCTAACGGGGTAGCCAGAGAGAACAGATCGCCAAGTGTCACGATCCTTACATACCTCTTTCGCTTCTTTCAGGTTCATTAACTTCTTCATACATGCACGTCTAGGTATCCGAGTACTCTTGACCTTCGCCTCTTCGAGCAATTTGCTCACATGGTCTTCGAAAGTTAGTCTCGGTCTACCTCGACACCTTTTAATATTTACTTTCGCTCTATATATTTTCTTCACCATTCGGTCTTCACTCATTTGCTCAACGTGCCCAAACCATTGGAGTACGCCCCTATCAATTTTTGTGATAAGGTCATCTTTCAATCCTACCATTCCATCAACAGTCAATAAATTATAACAGTTCATTGTTTAAGCCAATTTTTAACATAACCCAATTCCTAATATATACCTAAAATATGAAATCACACGAAATACTAATGAAAATGAATGAAATATTGAATTATTTTACCTGGTATTCTATTTTACTATAGTAAGCTTGTCTATTGTTGACACCCTTTACAGTAGTGTACATGCAGTGTTCAATACTAAATCTGTACCAATTGCAATATTAAATGTTAAAAAAATTAAATGACAAAAATGTATAACTTGGTTGAGTTAAGTTTGCACTTGGTGCGGACGACACGACATAACAAAAATGATCCAAAAACTAAAAAAATAAGATACGAAAGTTAAGACGTTCGTATGGGTACCAAAGATGCTAACCATACTGACGCGACTGTATGTATCGGGGGTTGAGAGCGGAGAAACGGACGGTCTCGCATTGCAGTGGAGTGCGTACTTAACTCAAACGGGTTGTAAATATATTTATTGAAAAGCATACTTAGTTTCTTTCCAGTTAGTATATAGTTAATAGAATCACTCCCAAACGCAAATTGTTATCAAACAAACCTTTCCTAAGACTACTGTCAAGTTAATGTTTCAAGTATTATAAAAACTTCTTTATTTGGCATATCGTTGGACTTATACTAGAATTATTTTGTCCGTGCAGTTTAGGTCATAAATCAAAGTATTTCGAATTTCGAGAAGTATTTCGCTTTCTCTCCCACTCACGGGCCTTAGAGACGCGCACAATGGTGTGCATTATTGTTGTCGATAAGCGTTATCGACAGTGTATTTAGCTTTGTCATTATGTGGGTTAGTGATAAAAATGAAAAAAATACATATAAAACAACGTATTTATTAAAATAAGAATAATAATGATTTCAAATAAATTATTAATTAGGTATCTATGTATAAAAAAACTATAAGTACAAATGTTTGGAATGTAACAAGTTATATTAAAAATCTAAGCATATAGCTTATATCTAAAATTAAATCCAAAACTATTTACATTAAAATTATACATCAGAATCATCAGAGTCATAGTTATCCACATGAATTACGATATCTTCTGCCAGATGAGATTTCTTCAAGTCTTCCTCTTGAAGTTTGTTTGCATGCTTCAAACAATCTTCCCATTTCTTTTGCGAAACGTTTGAAATTGCTTCATGCAGTAACACTTCGACTTCTGCAATTTTAAAAGTGCTGTTTTTGGTGGCAACTTCATTTTTTGCTTGAGCCCATACCAACTCAATTAGGTTATATTGGCAATGGTAAGGTGGTAAGCGAATCACTTCGTGTCCTGACTCCAAAGCTAACTGATTCAATTTGTATATTTTTCTGGTCGGTTCCGTTGCACCTGTAAATATAATATTGTTTGTATATTCAACTAATTACTTAAAAGAAAACAAATGTATTGTAAACTTTAAATAATAAAATCTGAAATACCTTTTGTAATAGTTTCGGCTTGAGCTCGCTATCACTAAACTCAATCCCATGTTGGCAGAGCCACTCCTGAATTTCATTCTTTTTGTTAGCTGATGTCGGTGCCCGATTTATTTGCTGGGAGCGTTGTCCATTATGATAACTGATGGTTCTTCAAGACTCTGAAATAACATTAAATCGGTATTCATTTCTGAATGGTAGTCCTCGTTCTGAGACTTCACAGCACGGAATACCCATCTGGCTTCGGGTATAAAACCATATTTTGCGCATCCTGCATGACAAACTGAACCAACGTAATTAAATGAATATCATATTTTGTATTAAATTATTATTAAGTCGTATTTCTTACATAAAAAATATGAAAGAATATTTATTTACCAATAATCTGGCCCCCTTTCCCGTTTTTGTGTTTAAGCTGCCTTGTCCATCCTTGTCTAGCCAAATAAGTTTGCGGCTGTGATTTTGGTTCACCCAAGTCTCATCTAAATAAATTGATGGTCGAGTGTCTTCACTATCTCTCAGGGTCTTGAGTTTTCTCAGGAACTGTAGCCGCGCACAAACGATGTCAGTCCTTTCCATCAATTGTTTACGGCCATCTGGAGCTTATGTGTACTTATACCCAAGTTCTATGAGTATTTTACGCATAGAAGAAATTGAACACTGAAATCTGTCAATTCCTTCTTTAACTGTACTCAAAATTTTAGCCGTGGAAGGATATTCACCGTCGTAATAAAACGATGACACTATTTGTTCAATTACACTTTTGTCAGTCGTCTAACGCAGTTACTGTGCAAGGCCGATAGACGCTTTCTCGCTGAGAGCTAACTTCTCCCTTTATACACTCTTTTTTAATTTCCGACCGCTCTAACACTCACACAACATATCGCCGCAACAAGTTCACGAGAACGGCAGAAATTAACACTTTGTAACTTTTCGGGATCTATTTTCATTTCAGTGAAAAATGTTATTCTTGTTGTATAGTTACCTTTTTAATAAATAACAAAGATCTATTGTCCAGGTTGACTGTTGTAATCCTTCATCCTGGCATATTTTGATAAAGTTATTTTGCATAAAGTCTCTTTGATCTGCTGAGAGCAGCATCGTAACACTGGCAATCCCACAATCCCAATTGTAACACTGTTGGTAGTGGCATAGTTTATGCTCCACGTACTTTGGTTGTTTTAAATATGCTGGGTTTAAATAACATAATATAATGTTATATTTTCGTTCAGGTTAATGATAAGACAGCTATTACTTAATCTTATCATTAACCTGAACAAATACTGTTTTTGATCAAAAACCTGTAATTAAAATTATGAAAAATTAAGCTTAGGTTAAATTGATTTTATCATCAAACTTAATCATTCTAAGTTTTTCATCAAAAAAACTATATTTTCTTAGAGTTATGATAATAAAGTAGTACTTTTGTCTTCTTTAGGTTCTTGATCAAAAACTTGTTTTTGTTATAAATCAGCGACATAATAATATAAAGTACTCTGTGATCGGTTCATCAGTTCAAACAGTCTAGGTTTTTGATCAAAAAACTGGATTTGTTCAGGTTTATAACTTAAAGTAGTTACTTAGTCATCCTCCGTTCTTGATCAAAAGGGAAGGACTTTTATATAAGGGATGTATATAACTATATATAGATTATATTTGAGGGGAGGAGAGGGTGGGGCGAGGACGTAGAGACCCACACGAAAAAGGTTTAAGAAATGCAAATTTTTTGTGATTTTTTTTAAAATCGGATTTTAAGGTTATGTTTGGGGGAGAGTTCAGGGGAGAAAGCGGGCGGAGGAAAAGAGGTCCCCCCCCCCTATGCCACTCAGCGTAGCGTAGTCGACAGAGCCCCGCTTTGTGGACTTCTTAAATGCGAGTATAAACATTGAATGACATGACACAAAAAATCAAAAAAATAGCTGTCTATGAATCCGCGTTTCCTTTGACATCTAGCAAATACCGTCGAGATCAAAATAATAATTTTGATCTCGACGGTATTTGAATTATCACAAAAACTAAATATTCGTGATTGTTCACCCAGAAAACCTCAAATCACTGTGAATTTTTTCAACCCGAATAAAATAACAAAAAATAATGTGATTTAAAATAAAAGTACACGTCAACATCTTTCTTATTTGCTAAATCAAAACGCATTATTAAAACTCCATAAAATAGCAACACCTGCTGTCAAAATTACGTCAAAAACTATAAAATTATAAAAAAAAAATTAATAAGAACTGTGCACAAAAAAGATTTGAAGATTAATCTAGGTTTTTGATCAAAAACCTTTTATCATAAACCAGCGAAATTTTTGTATTTAAAATTTTAAATCATACAACTATATAATTTATGTTTTAAATCGAGGTGCTATCCATAAATAATGCGTATTATAGGTATATTCTTAAGTACATAATTCTTTTTAAATATAAAGTGAACAATATTATTTTAAACTATTATTTGTAGTAATTTTAAAAGTACTTACGTTTAACTTTACTTGACATGTTCCTTTTTTTTGACAAATAGTATAAATTATGTTTGGAATCAACAGAATTCTTTATATAAATTTATATCCGTCATATTATACAACTGATTGAATTCTATTTATTACATGATTTAATTTCAACATTTTATCTTTATTTTGCAAAATTTCAACTTGGTAATTTTGGATACAAGTTATCATTTGGTCTGTCTTGGGGTAGGGTACCTATAAATTAGCTCTTTGTTGTTGAATTCTATTTAATTAGCTTATACTCTTAGTGTAATATATGATATTTAGTTGATATTATTTTTGATCTACTATTTATATTTCAGAAAATTACTTATCTAGAATATTAAAAACGATTACAATTATATCAAAATTACAATTTATCAATATTTAACTTTGATAAATGATAATCAAAGAGTATAGTAAATATATAAGGAAAATGATAACATGATAACTTTGATTTTGTTTTTAAGATTTGCCAATTATGACAGGCAAAGGTTTTAGACCATACAGTCCAGTCTGATGTGTATTTTATTTAAAACCTTAACAATATGCTGATTCAGAATATTGCAAGTTTTTGGGAATGAATTTTGATTCAATACTCCTTAATATTTATTATTATATATTGGAGAGTATTGTAGAAGAGGGATGGATGAGCAGGGAATCCCCTTGGCTTATAGCACCTTCCTCGGAAGTGCACAATTTTTTTTAAGTTTTTGAAAATTTCATATTTGAGTTACAATTCTAGTAATATATTTTAATGAACTTTAGAAATGGTCATCCCGCAGACAAGGAAAACGTGGAGGAAGAAACTAAAACTGCTCAAGGTTATAGTCTCTGAGGAAAAATATTTGAAATTTTCGCAAAAAAAATTGTTAAAATTGGGACACAGTGGAAGAAGGAGGGAAGATCCCTCCAAGTAGGGAAAGCTAAAGCGTAGAAAAGTGTAATTTTCAAGATTCTTTTGAAAAGATTTCAATACATACAGTATGTATAGTTCTTTATCACTAATTTAAATTCGAATATTTCCAACAAAGCAAAATATAAAAATTTCGACAGAATCCACTTTTATGCTTGACGTTGTTTGAATGATATATCGTTATACACCTAACCGTAGTGCTTGTATAATTCAAATTCATGTTGTTTTATACGTGGTAGAGCCATGCTGCAGTTATATTAGTAGTATAGTTGTAGTACGAATGGGTCGGCTCGATCGGGGAAGGATCTCGTTTTCAGGGAATACCAGCGTATAATGTCAAATA